CAGATAAGATATTTATCTCACAAGTTTGGGGGGCTTTTTAATGCAGTCTCAAAAGACCTTAGTGTACTGCTGAGCATTTCTTTAATCACTTCTCACAGGCGCAATAAAGACCAAGCTCAGTGGAGCATATTATTAGACAGATAATAACCCTTACCCAGCCAAGATCTAAATACCAAACTCATCACACACAAGATGAGCTGTCTGGAAAGTGTTCTTTTGCCTTTTTTTTTTTTCCTATAAGAACACACACAAAAACCAGAAGACGGGCTGTAAGTCCCACAAAAGACTACCCGGACCTACCATGAAATTCATACCACCACAACAGCTCATCTGGCTTTGATTCTGAGGATCGTGCTTTTTACCAGTAACACACAGAATAAGGACCAGATATTGCTCCCCTGTGTACTAGCAGAAATTTTGTCAGGAATTCAGAAGGAAGCAATCCCAGCCCTTCTCCAAGCAACACATGAAGGGACAACTGCAGCTTGACTTCTGAGGAGGCCAGGCAGGAGAAAAGCAATAGAGAGCCTGCAGTGACATTTAAATGGAGATTTTGAAATGCACCAGGTGGTACAAAAAAAAAAAAAATTCACAGAGGGAGCAACCCTTGGAAGATCTATTGAGCTACATGAGAACATAACATAACCAAATCAGCAGAGAAGAGAACCAACTAAATTTGGTTCAGACAGACTGTGTTTCAGTATCGCTCCCAGGCCCCGCCTGGTAGCTTCCGTCTTCTCAGCTCCTTTTAAAACGTAACATGTTGAGTCTATGCATTTTTTTCCCCTCTGCCAAAAATAATCAACCTGAAAAAAAATCCTTCTGAAATCTCAAATCTGCGCAGTCTTAGTCACCCTTCTGATTACCCTTTTGTGCAGCCAGACTGTACATCAGTGCTATTCTGACAAAAAAAGTTATCTATGACTAAAATGGGAAAGTACACACAAATTATTTTACTTCCCCACCCCTACAAAACCCACCATCCAAAAATCTTATCACAGAAAAACATATAATTAGACTGTACCCTTCTGATGTAAACTGAACTGCGGCTTTCAATGATCACAGCCACTCTTCAAAGCCTCTGAGATAAAAAGAATCTTATCATTCAAATTATTACTTCTTAGGGATGCTCTTATCAAAGTTTGAAGGAAAATTCTAAAAACAGCAGTGATATGAAACCAAGACTGAGCCATATTTTAAATGACACTGGATTTTCTGCCAATTGGCCAATTCACAACTCAGAAAAAGCAAGTGTAGATGAAGACAAAGCTGTTGGCTCTCATAACCTTTACAGTATCACAGTAAAAATCTCAACTGTCTCACATATTTATACTAAATGGCAGGTCTAAAATTGAGATTTGTAATTTCACAGCATCAAAATCATCACAGATGGCTACAGTCTATTGCTTCTTTAATCTGTCTTTTCTCCCTTCCTGCTTGTTTCCCCCCCCCTCCTCCTTTGAGGAAGAAAGATATGTGTTTTATCATAAGGAAATCGTAACTAAATCCAAACCACATTATATTAATGTGTAACAAAACAATTTACATAACAATGATGAGTACAAGAGAAGTTGAAAATTACTTTATGTCTCAGCTTTGCCCTAAAGCACTAATTGCCTTAGCCTTGAGACGTGACACTAGTTGGGATAGTCATGTTCCATCAACAATATTCCAGATTTATGCTCTCCTAAGTGGACAGCCATTAACACAAAACATTTGAGGGAGAATAAACAGTAACAGAAAATTTAAAAAAAAAACCCAACAGCAAACTGGATTTTTTTTTTTTTGCATTAGGTTCACAGCTACAAGTGCATCTGCGAGCAAAGAATCAGTGCTCACCTAATATTTCTACTGATCAGGACCAATTTTGTAGAACCACTGCCATGACACACCTGTGAAGCTTCCCAAATAAATATGGATTAAATACTTAGCTCCTTTTCCCTTCTGCCCTGGGTTTTTGCATATGTACATACACATGCACTTATGCATGTTCAGTAAGACAATCATCATCAATAAAATCAGCTGGAGAAAAAAATAGCAGTCAGAGGAAGGACAGTTTTTTGTCATCGTATTCAAACACCTCCATACCACCAACACAATTTTTTAAAAATCCCGTTCAAGGTCAGAAAGTCATTAACTCCCACTACAGGAATAACTTTAGATGTGAAGTGGCTTTCCATTATGCTTCCCACACACACATCAGAAATTAAGCAAAAGCATCTCAAGGAAAATGCATTATTTAAAAATCAGGAGGTTGAGCGAACTTGAAGCAGCTCACAGGACAACCCAAGTGCCAGCTGGTCTGCCCCAGCACTGCATGGCAGGGAGCAGGTCCCAGGAAAAGACACAGAATTCCAACATCAACTGTGGATCTCCCAACAAGTGCAACTGGCCTGAACTATTTCTGCCCACTGAGCTTTTGTCAAACATTTAAGATCTTAATCAACCCTAACTCTGACCCTAGGATCACAAGGGAAGATGGATGAGGAAACGGACAACCTCTGACCTTTCCTTGTATTTGTCCTGCCACAGCCAACCTACTGAAAAACAATTGAGGCGGAACCTGCTCACCAGCTCCAGTCCCAGACCAGCACCCTTTTACAGACTTTCCCAAACTCAAACTCTCTCCCCCTGCCCCCAGTCCTCTGTACCAAAACCACAGGAATCCTCCTCACTTCATCCTCCTCCTCCTCCCTTCCAAAAACCTGTCAGAGCAGAACATTTGCTAAACGATGAAGTTAAGAGGGGAAAGAAAAGGGGAAACCTCATTCAATGATGTCAAAGGCCAAACTGCTTTAACAGCCTCGCTGGAAACCAGAGAGGAGCTGCACAGTTCCAGTGAGCTTCATGAATTCACCAAGAGGAACTTCCCAGTAAACTGTTCTGGCTGGAGAATGGCAAGTGTGAGAAAAGGAAACCACAAATAACCACTGATGAAATGGGTTTAGCACTTTCAAATTATGTGCTGGCTCAAATACTCTCAAAGTGACTAGTCCAGGCCAACTTCACTCTGGAGAGCCCAAGAGACGGAATGTTCCTATTGCCTTTGTCAATATGGCATCACCTGATCTTCCTGTTAATTGGGAAACAGAAAATTGGGTTTCCTGAGCCCAAACTTGCTCAGGTGCAGCTGAGACCCGTTAGGTAAGCTGACATTCATCTCTAAGGTCTAGTCCAACACTACAAAAATAAATTCAAAATGTATGTCAGTATAACCACTGCCCACCAGTAAAACCTCAAGAGATTTCCCCTCAACAACACAGGATTTGTTAGGCAATTAGCTCATCACGTCTGGGCCACTGACGCTGAAAAATGGTAGATCTGTGTCAATCAGAGTGACCCAGTGCTGACCTAATAGGCCTTTAGGAGAAAGCAGAATAATCCCTGTGCAATAAACCAAGATGTGCTCCCCCATTCACTTCCTCCTCTGAGAAGCCAGGCTGTAAATGTGTCGAGAAGGTTTGCCCAGAAGTTATTGAGCTATTAAGAGAGTAACAGTATCTCCACAGCCACCAAGGGCTCTCCCCACATCACCCCGTCAGTACCACAGTCACAGGTTCACACATCTCACGATAAACAGGTTTTCAAGTTTCCATCTCACTGGATTAAAAAAAAACCAAAGAAAAAACCTGAGTAATTCACCCCACAGAGGATGTCCTGTCATTGTGCTGCTCATCTTTCAGTTCTCTGTACAGCCCACACTAATTTTATTGCCACTATTTCATACCTAAGCTTTTGTCATATAGCAAAAACTCTAGAAATTAAGGCTGAAGTTTACACTTAGTGCTTCTTTCCTAACAAAGCTTAATTTCAACACATATTGTTGAACTTCATATTGACTGTAGATTAGCATTCAAAAGAAATCAAGTAAGACATTCAAAAGACACCATTCTCTTAGGATTCCAGCCCAAGAGCTGTTAGGTACTTGCCTCACTAACTTGTGCTTAGTCTCAAGATCAAAAAAATGACCTCATGAAAAGCACACCAAGAAGATGTAAGGCAATTGGCTCCAAAAAACCTTTTCTAGAAACATGGTTCCAAATCCCCCAAGGAGCTGAGCACCTTCAATTCAGCACCAGGCAAAATTAAGCTCGCTGACCTGTGCAAGAATCCATTTAAGTCTGATCTTAATTTATGCTTACATGAGCAAGAGTTTAGAAGCAGAGGCTAAAGATATTTTATTTATAAACTCCTTTCTCTCCTTCCCCAATCTTTTACAACTTCTTTTTCCAGAAAAGGGAGGTGTAGAGAATATAGGTATTGAGGTCTTTTCTTTTAGGAGAGTCTGTCTTTTATACACACTTTAATCCCCAATTCTGCAGCACACAGGATAGTGTGTGTGTGTGTGTGTGTGTGTGTGTGTGTGTGTGTGTGGGAGGGTGGGGTGGAGACTTCTAGCATTTCTAAGAGTATCCTAGCACCTCTATTATTTAACTGACAATAGAGACTCTCTGAGAAATGAAAATATTTAACAAAGGCAGCAGTGTCAAATATCAAAGGGTATTTAGTGCTAAAAATTTGCGACAAGTAAAACACCAAAGACTTCCACTTCTCAAAGCGGGAAAGTAATCCAGCTAAAACTCCTGTCCCTGCCTCCCAGGCTGGTTCTTAACCCACTGCATTATCCAAAGGAGACTTTGCCAGAATTTCCTGTGCTTAACAAAGTTCACTTGAAAGATTTGTCTCTTCAAACAATGGTAGCTCAACTGCACTGTTATGTAGTCATTCACATTTTGGTGACTATCATGAGCCAAATCAAATTTAGGCACCTGCTAGAAAATGTGTTTCACCTTCTGCCTATTATGGCAGTATCATTTGTTTTACATTATGTAATTCTTAGCCTTGCCACCTGGAGCTATTGGACTTCTTCATTAAACCCCTCTGTCCCACCAAATCCCATGGGGCTGCTAATTACTGGCTTTACTCCATTTACCCTCATCTCTGATTCAATTATGCATTCAACTAAGCCCTAATGAAGAGTACAATATGGCTCATCCTACCTTGGCATTCACCATTGCGTTCTTCATAGCCAGCATTGCACAGACAGTTGCCAATGGGCACCAGCCATTCGCCATCTGCCCCACAGTACATTTTTGGCACATCCTTCTCTTCTGAGTTGTTGACACAGGAGCCACGAACCTCCACCAGAGAGGATGTATCAGCCCCAGTAATGGTGTCTGGAAACTGTGCCAGGTTCCGAACTGTCAACGGGCACTTCTTATAGAAGACACGAACAGAGACCAAAGCAATGCAGGCACCGACATCCTGAAAAGCCAAATAAAACCCTTTCTTGCTGAGTGGTCCTACATCCCGTATCTCTGTATTCAGCTTCATGATCCTGTCTCCAATGTCCACCTGGGTGAAGCTCTCATCAGCAGCAATGGTATCGATCTTGGCAAACTGGCTCTCTCGAATAAAACGCTCCTTATCATTGTTTGATTCATAATAATAAAGGTTGAAAGTCTCTTTGCAAGTTCCCATGACGCCCGGCAGGCTGTTGCAATCTCTGAGTGTGAACTTGATTTCAATATATACCCTTTGAGCCCCCTCACGGGGAATCCAGTCAGTTCGTAGCCAATTATTCTGACTGGGCTCCATCACATTGCAGACTTGATAGGTGCGGATCGGAGTGTTCTTCTCATCCATAATGCTTACTTCCTCCCACTGCAGAGAGGAAAAGGGGAAGAAAAATATATATCAGTATTAAAAGGAACAACTGAGCTTCACAGCAAACAATCTGCCCTTTTTCCATTAAAGGGAAACAAACAAACAAAGAAACAAAAACAAACTAGCAGACCAAGTCATAGCCAGGACCTCAACTACTTGGACATTAAAGGAAGAACCTGTTCAGGAGAAACGAGTTCCAAATCAAGTAATGCCTCGAGGAGCAAACATGTTTTAAAGGACCTCTGAACCAATCCAAGAATGCTCCATCAACTGACTAGGTTTATTTGCACTACAATTCAGTCCACAGGACCCTGCTTAGATTAGGGCTACATACAGGACTTCACAGACTCCCAGTGCAGAACTGGCCTACAGTGTTTTCTCTGCAGTGGATAACACGTGGACTCTGTCTTGTACGTGGGAATATCCAACACTGACATAGCATGACTTGGTCACACAAAAAACACGAGATAGAGAGAATAACATCCACATTTCTGGCACTACTATCACATAGTTTAAAAATTCTTAAGTCAACCCTTATTATTTCTTTAAGCTGTCAACTCCTTTCCTGGGCTACCCATATCCCAGACACTCAGCAAACAGTCTTTGCTACAGAGCTGGGCAGAAATAGCTGTCTACAGAGAACTGGGTCCTTGACTTGGTGGCTCTTAGAGAAGGAACAACAGGTAAAGAGACAACAGCATCAGTCTACCAGAAACACCACTATAACTTCATTATCCAAACAGAGTTTCTTACTAGTGGGAAGGCAGAAAAAGAAGGAATATTACATATTTTTTTTCGGAGGAAATGTCAGGAAACAGCTACATTCATATCATCAAAAACCCAAAAAGGTTAACAGAGAGGTAAAGTGCTGAAAGATCAGGGTAGCTTGCATGCTTCAAAACTGTTACACTCCTCAAATCAAGTTCAGACATCTTCAGAAGTGCCAAACTAACAGGCAACATGACTATGAAACAACAACAATACATGTAATCCAAGGAGGGTATGGAAAAAAGAGATCCATGAGTTCAGCATGATGAACTTAGAAAAGGAAAGTTCTGAAACAGTTCTGAAAAAAAAAATTGTTTTAAGTATTATCAGAAACAGAAGAAAGTTTATCACAGTGCTCTCCTGGTGGGAAGAAAAGGGAAAGTACAGGCATTAGGGAGAGAAATCTTTCCAGAAAAAAAACCAAACTGTAGCACTTCAATTTATATTATTCAATTTATTCCTTTTTTAAAAAATATTAGATAATGATATGCTGACTAGGTATGCAGGCGATCCAATGAAGCATATAAAGTTATCCTTAGAAAACAGTAATAACTTTAAAGAGACTTCCCAGAAGTGCTTTTCAGAACTACTGAAGCCATGGCTTTGATAAACAGAAGCCTTCTTAACGTTAAAGGGCTTCTTGTATAATATCCTGCATTCTTCTCACAAAGATTGCTCTTATGCAAGTGATTTTTACTTAAAAAGCTTCCAGCTTAGCTGAATCCGTTTATAGAATGACAGCAGTTAGCACCATGAGTCACTAGGAGCAGAAAGAATAATATTTTATTTGCTGCCTAGAGATAACTGCAAATTAAAATGAAGGAGGGGGGGAAATCAATACTCAGCATGTCACTCCTTTTCAGAGAAAAGGAAAAAATAAATCTTAAAAAGTCATCTATCAATATAAAGCGTAACATGTTGTTAGTAAGAAGACAGTTGTTTAATTTACAACTGCCACAGACCTAGTTTACAGTTACAATATCGTCTTTATGATCCATCACTTTCCATTCTGCTTATCTTCAGATTGTCTATGCTACCTATATTGTGTGTGGTACAAGAGAAAGGAAGAAGCAGAGGGAAATAATACTTGTTGATGGGATTTCCTTTAGTGCATTTGCACAATGGAGGATGCTGCTAGAGGATTCAATAAAGAGATCGCTGAGGTCAACAGACAGACAGCAACTGAATTCAGCAACTTTTCGGATCGAGTTGTCAACACACCCATCTCCTGACCAACGTACAAATATACAGAGTTGGGTTTATTTCATAAACACACAAACAAAAAATAAACGCGTGTCTTTCTGACAGAGCTGAAAATAACTACAGCCCCAGATTTCCAGCCACTGTAAATGACTTGTAACTCTAAGTATGTGGTCAAAGTTGTAACTTTTTGCTTTCAAGTTGAAATTAACTTTTATAATTCAACTCTTCCCACAGTTTAATGATGCAGAGTAAAACATTCTGGGCACAAAACCTGCTTTTCAACTGTGAAATGCAAGAGCAAATCATTAATTACATTTATAATGCAATTCATTAATTCCTCCAGGGCTACTATATATTTGATTACTGCTAGTCACTGCTACATTACTATGTTTATCTATAGCCCTTCTTATCCACACAACCCTCACACCTCAGGAACAGTGTGGTACAGATCTAGACAAATAGCTTTTTTAATAGACAATAAAGTATACACAATTAAAGAAAAACACTAAAGGACAGAATCTTCCCAGAAAGATAAAGGAGTTCGTCACTGCTGCTTGAAATAAATCTGCAGCATATGAAGTTAAAGTAAATGCTTTCCAAGCACTGTATCTCAGAGACAGGCCATATACTCTTAAATTTTTCACTACAGGCTTAAAAATAGAACACACATATGTAGGTTTAGTGAAACGAGTCACGTCCACAATAAGAGCACACATTTCCTTCTCAAGCTTGCATGGTGCTGTCAGAAGAAACATGGGGGAAAAGGAGGAATCCAACAGCCATTAATAAAATACAGCTGTCCTCTGATCATTGATTCTACTGCTGACTTATTAAAACTTGTATTTTAGGTCCTGTTTTAATACACAGCATAGATACCCCTTGGAGAGCCATATAAAAGGCCCTGTCTCATTAACCGACCTTTCCAGGGTGCTGGATTAACAAGGAAGCCCAACTCTCACCGAGATAGAGCTGTACCTTTCCACACTGTCAAAAGATGAGGGCAATTGCCTGCAATCTGCAGTGAATGTGCACCGTGGGCGCTGCCAGAGGCCTGCCAATCACTTCCCCACTCTTTGAAAAACCGGGTTTTGGGGATAGCACAGTGTGCTCAGGCACAAGCCAGGACCGTAGTCAAGTTCACCCAGAACAACAATGGGGGAGCAAAACAATCCCCCATTCTCCCATGTTATGGTTATTCAGAGCTTATGCATAATGCATCACCAGCCAACGCAACCTCGGATTCCTTCCGCTCACTGCTGTTTCCTTAGCTCTGCTTCTTCTAATTACGAGTGGGAACGCACACAAAAAAAAAAAAGTAAATTTGTAGGTTTCCTGAAGAATCCAGTGCTTTGTTGTGCACAGGTCCTGATCTTTCAGCACTTTTCTTTTTCAATCACTTTGACTTTGTTACTTCTGCTTAAGGATTCTAAGCTGCTTTTGCTCATTTAATATTTAAGGGATTTGAGGGTTTTTTACATTAATGTTTAGTGTGCATTGCTGGCATTTTTCTTAAATTGTTCATTTGAAGAAAGAAAAGCCTTTTCTAATTGCTTATTAAAAAAAATCCCATGAAGTACAGTCTCCTCCATATCCCTGCAACTCCAAAGTCCAACATTCTCGGGAGTTTCCCACAGAAGCACTGGGCACCCTGCAGGTCAGGGCACAGATGAGGGAGCAGCAAGGTGTCCACCCACTAATATAAAACTAAACTAAACAAATAAACCTACCTTGCATGCAGCTCCGCTAAGCAAAGAAGCTCTAACCCCCAGCAATGAACGTCTTATCATCACACCACCACTGGGCAGTGCATTCAAGCAACCTTCTCTTACAATTGTCTTATTTAAAAGTACATCGAAAGAAAGTGCAAGGAATCACCATCAAGCACTTGATCACCATCAAGCAGTTTTTCTGTTCAGAGACCTAAATAAACGATGTTTACACCCTGAAATAGGGCAATGTCCCATCACACCAAAAGGTCTGTATATTGATCCTCACTCCTTCATCCAGAAATAGAACAGCAATTGCCCTGAACATCCCCCAGCCGAGACAGTCCACAGATAAAATAATAGCAGTCAAGAATGCCAATTCAGCCGGCAGATCACATTTCTTGTTGGTATTTCAGTTTTAAATAGGCATCTAAGCCCATGCCTCAACCAATCTCCTAATTCTGAAACCTCTTTTCTGCCCTTTTGGTTTCCACTTCTTCCATGACAGAACTATCCAAAGGGAGTATAGAGTTTCTCCAACAAAGAGTAATTCACTTGGTAAGCCAAGGAAGAAATCTGACCTCCTCACCACAATCAACAATAATCGAGCCATTAGGACTCTCTGAAAGTTACTAATCACCCCCTTTACCCTTTTGATCAGATAGCGGTTTAAAACTTACCCCTCCTTCCAAGGGACTTGCTATCCACCCCAGCTCTCCCTGAACTGATCTGGAATCCAGCAAGGTAACTGCAGAAAGGTACAAATAAAACAGATTAAATTCCAGCTGCCAAGAGGCAATATTAAAATAAATCGTTTACCTGAACGTTTCCATATGTGTGGAGCAAGATCGCATCCACCTTCCACTCGAAATGAAATGTTAGTTCCGACCGCGCCAATATCTTAAAACACTTGGAAAGTCTCTCAGGGGTAGGTCCGAGGAATCGCACGCTCGTTTCCCGGCGCGCCGGAGCCGCTCCCGGGCGCGGAGCGGCGGAGTCCCGGCACACCTGCGGGGGACAGCGGAGCGCCTCCCGGGAGCGCTGGGCACCGCATCTCCCGCCGCCCGGGACCGCGACCGCACCGTGGCGATAAGCGGACAATCGGTACTTCCCGGGACCCCGGGAGGGCAGCCAAGTACCGAGAGACCTAGCGGGGGGTTCCCGAAGGGACCGGCGCCCCACGCCCGCACTGCGGGACGACCGCGGGCTTCCCCCGCGGAGCCGCCGCCGGACTGTCCCGCAGAACGGGCTGCACCCCGGCCCCGGGGAACGGCGCGGAGCCGCCGAGAGCTCCCGGGAGAACCGGTTTAATGAGCCGCCCTCGCGGCTCGGGGCCGCCCCGGCGCGGCGGCTCCGCTCCCGGGAGCGCTGCGGCCCCGCGGCCCGGCCCGGCCGGGGCAGAGACAGTGCGGGGGGACGCGCGGGGCGGGCGGCGGCCGCTCCGCTCCGCCCCGAGACACCTGTGCCAGTGCCGCGGGCGGCCCCCGGAGCGCCGCCCGGGCAGCTCCGCGACCGCCGGACGGGCAGTGACTACATGGGACAGCGCGGGGCCGGCGGCGAGTGCGGCGGAGAGGGCACCGTCGCCAGCCCGGGGGCACCGAACTTTGCCCCGGCGCCCCGTCGAGGGAGCGCGGAGCCCGGCCGTCGGCAAAGCCTCACCTTCGCTGGCGGGATAGATCCGGGAGCCGGTGACGGCCCCGCAGACGCCGACGAGAAGCGGGAGGAGGGCGCAGATCGGGACCCGGGCCATGCCGCCGCCGCGCTCCGGCCGCGCTATCCCAGCGGAATAAGTGCCTACATGGAGCGCGGCGCGCGATAGACATTGCCGGGGGGGCGGGGCCCGCCCGCCCGTCAGGCCCCGCCGCCAA